GACAGGGACAGTAGGCACACTGGTGCGCTTATGCACGTCCCCTTGACGGACCTCTTAGGAATAGAGTGTGGTCCATGGTCCATTTATGTCTCAAAGGTGCTTTTTCAAAAGGCAACTGGGCTTTCTTTATTTTTCCTTGAAGTCATTTCACTTCTCATCCAACACATTTCAACCAATGAAACTTCAACCATTCTTGCCTTCAAATATGATGTTTCCTGCATGTTTCCCTTGGTAAATGTGCTGAGCACTGCCCTTAACCATGGGTGCTAAAGTATCAAGATTCCCAAGTCCTGCAGTATCAGTAGATTTTGTTTTTTGCATGGAGTGGAGATGCTTACAGAATGCTTTTTTGTGCTACTAGATACTAGAAATAAAGAATTGTAAGCAACAACTAGTTAAAATGAGTTGGCTATATTTTAAGGAGACCATAACGTTTAAAGTAATAAATATACAGTATCCTGTCCTGCTGACTGAACATTTTACTGTGTTCTGTATATTTGAAAGAGGTTAGTAAATTAATGTGAACCTAGGATAGATCAATATCTACTTGAATAATTTCAATATCTACTTGAATAATAGATCAATGTCTACTTGAATAATTTCTGGAGGCTGTGCAATAAATTAGCAAATATTTAACCACCTGTTTTGCAAAAGAAGATTTCTTCCCAAATTAGGCCACTGAAATTTTAAAAAAAGCTTGAAGAAAACTGGATTCTTATATACAAATGCAGTTCTGAAATTGAAAACATTTTTGGTCTTAAAAACTGCCTGTAAGTGTTTAGATGTCCTCCTCCCTGCTTGCAGTATTTTTTTGCACTCAATTCCAGTTCATGTTCTTTGAAGTTCTAGGAAAAAGTAGTAGTTCCCAAGTCTGCTAACTCATTTGTCAGCAGTTCTTATAAAAAGGAAGGAATGTGAATGTAAGGCTAATTTGTGATAAAGCCTGAACAGCTGATCGAGGTTAGACTTCAATTGTCTATTCTATGAAACCCATTAATAACAGTTGTTACATATTATTTTAGAGAGCGGATAGCTCCTTAAAGCTTAAGAGAATAAGGAATGGCATTTTACTTGGAAATTTGATAAAGAGAAGCAATTTCACGTGCAAAACTGAGATGTTTTCTGTATCTGCATAGGAATACTCTAACTATAAATAAATTTTGTTAGTGGGTGGGGTGGGATTTTCATCTGTTTACAAAGATCTAGATTAATTTATCCAAGTATGATTCTCTCAAGGCATGTTAGACTACAACTCCCATCCAAAACAGTAGGCTTGGCCAATGGGAATTGTGATCTAACATATCTCAAGAGTACCAGGTAGAAGGTAGCATATACAGTATAAATTTCAGAACTCTATAAATAAGGAAGTAGAATAGAGGCCATCAGCCCAAACAACCCTATCATATATCATTGGAGTTTATCTTATGTTTCTCTTACAAAAAGAGCCGAGGTGGCGCAGTGGTTAGAGTGCAGTACTGCAGGCTACTTCAGCTGACTGCTAGCTGCAGTTCGGCAGTTCAAATCTCACCAGCTCAAGGTTGACTCTGCCTTCTATCCTTCTGAGGTGGGTGAAATGAGGACCCAGATTGTTGGGGGGAATATGCTGATTCTTTAAACCGCTTAGAGGGGGCTGTAAAACACTATGAACTGGTATATAAATCTAAGTGCTATTGTTATTGCTATTTACTGTCAACAATTGATAGTCAGTTTGCTGACGTTGTCTGAGGTACATCATCAAATGTCAGTTTTCAAAACAAAAACTGGCACCAAACTTATTTTATATAGTGTTTATTTTATTTGAAAATACCCATCAGCAAAGAAAAGTGTGGATGGGTGCTGGGCTTAGAAAAGAAAGGACTGGGTTCAAAGAGTAAGCATTAGAAACAATAATACTAAGCTTTTCTAAAAGGGACCCTGGGCCTTATGAAAAAGTAACCAAGCACAGCTTTAAATATACAAAATAAAATAAAAACTCTAATCCAATCG